GCAGGGGACTGAGGACCAGGGATTCAACCTTCTTAATTGTGAACCTCATTAGTGATGGTTGCTAAGCAAAACACACACCTACCTTCAGTGCATAGGAAGGAGATAAACAGTACGTCACAGATCCTAATGACTTGGTGCCCAGGGCGACCTTTAATTACGATATTTTTGTTCTCTTATACCTTAGTCATTAATGTAGAAAAACAAATTAGTTTATTTTTGTGGACCACAGCAGATTCATAAACTGTCTTCCAGTTTTTATATGTCTGAATCGTATTTCATTCTGATAACCTACACACACTTCATTCATTTTCCTGTGTATGCATCTGTGTGGCTCCTGAATTCGAGACCTCTGTGTGGAGGATTAGTCTTAAAATGGTTTAGTTTTATGGGCTCTTTGCTCCAAAAGATTTAACCACGCTGTTTTGTTTGCAATTCACTTTCAAGAAAAAAAAAAAAAAACACCTCACATTACTTTCTCAACAATTCACGTTGGTCAGAATCTCATTATTGGGAAGTGTTCTGGTATAGAGGATGAGGATCTTATCTTACAGGGGGTGGGATAAATCGTGGGGACATGCGTGAGTGAGGGGCTTGGGGAAGGCCCTCTGTGTCTGAGTGTTTCTGAACCCTGACTCCATGTCTAAGACCACCGCCCCACTGCCTATCACTCTCAGCAAAATTCTTCTCTTTTAAGAAGCAAAACAAGAAGTCAGTCACTTGGAAGCATTTCATATAGAACATTTTATGCCGTTTTGGTTTTTTTTCCCCTCACTCCCTTCACCCTGCCCCCCACCCATTCCATCCAGGGACAGGAAACAGTCCTCGATGTCTGTTCTGAGCTGATGGGCCCACAACATAACCGCCCACTGAAACGTGCACGGAGTATCTGGGGATGACCTTCTGGATGGGGGCTTAGGACAGCCCAAATAAAACCAAATAAATTAAAACTGCAAGAAAACTCCAAGCAAAAGAAAGCTTAGAAACAAACAGATAAAGTGAAGCCCATGGCAGGTGAGGTGAGTGAGGCCCCTCCATAACGGGACAGGGGAAGCAGGAGAGGATCCCGGCAGTGGGCTCCAGGGGTGGGGGGGGGCGGCCAGGCCCTCTAGGGGACCGCAGGCCTGGGAGGGGCCCCTGGCGAGGGCAGCGCAGCATGAATCAACATAAAGGATGGTGCAAAGGAAAAGAAGCATTGCAAATAAAAAAAGACATGTAACATGTGTGCCTACCATTTTCCAGATAAGAAGGGGCCGTACCTTCTGACGGGTCTAGGCGGCGGGCCCGCCGCCCGTGTTTGGAATTGTTGTGCACAAACATGTTGTCAGACACGGCCAGCACGTGGCCGTCCACGTTGACTGTTGTCGACACAACAACCTGCGAAGATGAAGCGGATGTGAAACGAGCTGGCGGAAGGACAGACAGCCACCCGCTGGGTGAGACAGAAGCCGCCGCCGGCCCCACGGTGCACCCCAAGCCACGCCCGTGTCCGCTCCCGCACGGCCTCCCGGGCCGCCAGCACTCGCAGCTTTTTTGGTTAGTGGGGGTGGGCGGGCTGTTTTGCTTTGTTTTGACTCAAGATTGCTTCTCCTCAAAACCTGCTACACTAATTACAGTTTAATCTCCTATTATGCTAACAAGTGAATTCAATTCAGAGAAATATTCTTCTAGCCATTAGATTCAGAAACACCCCTCCAGCCGCTCATTTTAAAGCTGCTGTTTTGATTGATCTGTTCACATATTGATTAGATAGTTTATCTAATTAAAATTAGTTCACTTGAGACTGTCCTCCCTTGAAGAGTTGTGAGGATTCAGGGTTGCCAAAAACAGCCTTCCTAAATCAGAAGGACTCCGGCTACCCCAGCCCATCATCCGTGATCCCTGGGTCGATTTGAAAATTACATCTAATGTCTGGTAACGAACCTTCCTGAATCTGAAAAGACCAAGCTGAATATGAGTAGTGGCAGTGTTTTCAATCCAGAGCAAGCATCCTTTCTCAAGTTCACTGCGGAGACTGGCAAGGACCCTGGTGCCAACGCCCTGCCGACCCCGGGCACCTGCCCAGGTAGCCCAGAAATGGCACCCTTTAATGGACTCGGGAAACGAGAATCACTACCCGGCCTTAAGGTTTTTCTTAAACAGAGGGGGGCCCATGCAGTCCATTATTTCCAGAAGAGCTGATATGAGTAGCAAAGACACGAGCCCTGGTTCCGTCTGGGTCTCACAGCAGGACTTGTGGCTGGAGCCAGCATCTGGGGTGCCGGGAGCCTGGCCTTGGCCACATGTGGGCAGTGGTGAGGGCCAGCACCACCTCAAGAAGCACAGCCCCACAGAGAAACATGCAGCTGGACAGGAGAGGAGGGGACCAGAAGGGTTCCCAGTCCACGTCTGCTCTCCCCGCCTGGTCTGCACATGTCCAAACGCCCTGGAAAATGACCACTGAAAGCCAAAGCTACAGCAAACCTTGGTTAACAGAACGCTGGTTCATCCCATGTAGCCAATGTACCTCGCCAATGTAGGACATTAACACCAGGGGCAACTGGGATGGAGGGGGTGCCCAGGGGGCACATGGGAATGCTCGGAACCTTCGTGGATTCTTCCCAAAAGCCTAAAACCGCTCTTTAAAAAACCAGTCTACTGGGACACCTGGGTGGCTCAGTCAGTTAAACGTCTGCCTTCGGATCAGGTCATGATCCCAGAGTGCTGGGATTGAGTCCCGCATCAGGCTCGCTCTTTCTCTCTCTCGCTCTCTGACAAATAAATAAATAAAACCTTTAAAAATAAAAAACAGTCTATTAGAGGGGCACCAGGTGACTCAGGAGTTAGGTATACGACTATTGATTTTGGCTAGGGTCATGATCTTGGGGTTGTGGGGTTGAGCATGGTGTCAGGCTCTGTGCTTACCAGGGATTCTACCTGAGATCCTCTCTCCCTCTGCCCCCCCCCCAAAAAAGTCTATTAGAAAAAAATAAGTGATCAAAAATTAAAAAATAGCATTTTTAAGGGTTAAAAAGGTCAAAGCTGCATACACACACACACATATATATTTGAATACATGTGTAATTGACTTTTTCATAAAGAAAATCTCAGGCCCCACAGGAAGATTGTGAAGCAGGGGCCGTACCCACCACACCCCCCAAAACTCCCTCCCAGGGGCAGCTTCCTTGATGCTTCTCTCCTGGGTGGGCCTCACCAAGACTACTGGAGTCTCACAGTATTGGGCCCCTCTGAGCCTCAAAACACTGTGGGTACCACCATCGGCATCCCCAGTCCAGCCTAGACACATCATCCTCTTCTTGTCGACGGCCACCCACCCACAGGGCGGGCACGTGCAGTGCCTTGGCCACCTCTGCCCCCAGGACCCAGGGCTTGGGAGGACCTGCACCATCACCTGAGCGTGAGGCAAGGCCACAGAACGAATGCTGAGCCAGACTTGACCCTCTTCGAGTTCTCAGACCATGATACGTTAAAGAAGCAAGAAAGGTAAAAATAAAAATAAAAAAAGGACACTGTTTTGCTCTGTCATCTCCAAATAGGTCAGTCACCAAGGGAAAAGCGTGTGGCTCAGCAGAGGAAGCAGACAAGCTGTGTTTTGCTTCTTGGCCTAGGCCAGCCCTGCAGTGCACCTACAGGAAGGTGCTGAGTCTGTGAAGCCTGCTGGAAATACTGTGTACAAACTCTTCTGAGAGGCAGGAAGACGAGCTAAAGAGAGCAGAGCAAGTCCTTCTAGTAACTGTGGGCCCACTTGCAACTGAGGGTGTGTTGGCCAATGGCGAGTGAGTGTGCGCCCTTCCACTCTGCTCCGATGAGCAGATACCACTGTGAAGCCTGGTGCCAGAAAGTTGGAGGCAGGCCCAGCTGTTTACAAGAGACACTGTCCCCACCTGCAAAGCATGACTGTGGACCAGGCCACAGACCCTTCTCTGATTGGCTGGTTGGCTGTAAAGACAAATGTCACATGTCCTAAAGGACTGGAATATAAGTTAAATTGCTAAAGATGACCTTGAGCAGTTTGAGGGTAAGTCATCCAATCTAGCATCATTCCCACTAGCTGCCAGATTCCTCTCTGGTTGGTAGGGACTAGCAGCAGTTCTGTGTCCCGGCCTAGAATATTTTCACAATTAAAATCAGCAAAATAATCCACTGTGCGGGGAGTACCTCTCACCCTGAAGCAACCTCCTAATCATTCACAAAGGCAAGAAAAATATGCACTCAGTGATGACCAATCCAGGTCTTCCCTCTCTCCTTGAGATGAGATCCTCTGAAGCAAACCAGAATATGAGTTAGCCTGCCTCCAGCAACATGGCCTAGCAATTGGGCAAGGGTGTAAGGAAGCAAGAATACATCAACCCTGAGGGAAAGGAAGCTGAGCTGGGGGAACATTCTGGAACATGTAGAGGCCCGCATCAAACAGTGCAGCTCCCTTCATGAGGGGGCCCCAAGGTCTTGTGCTTACCCAACAGGCTGCACTATGGCTCTGCCCCATGAACAATCCACCCATCGATCCCTAAGAGAAGACCTTTGGGCATGGGCTCCAAGTTCTCATCCGTTGTGCATGGCCACGTACGGCTGCGGAAACAGGCTACCTTATGTACTAACGTATTTGAAGAGATTCTGAAACAGTCATTCGGAAACACACCTACAAGACTCACCATGGCTGAACGTCAGGGGGAACCCGTCTTAACCTGCAGCTGGGAGAACTCTGACCTCCAGACACCTGGCAGCCCAACGCGGAGGCCGGGCGTGGCGCCACCACTTTAAGAGGTGCACCTTGTAAGCCAAGGTCACGTTTTCAGAGCAAACCCCAGTGCGCACAGACTCGATGAATCTGGCGTACTGAAGAGCCCGAATCATTTTTAAGGCAAAGTGATTTAAATATTGTATCAAATGGACCGATTCGGGTTTGCTCCCAAGCCCTTGGAGAACTAAAGACTGTTTTCTGAACAATCAAAACATCAGAGAATTCAAATTGCATGTTAAAAGTCCGGACCGTGGCCCGCGTGTCTTTGAGAGATGTGTACCTGGAATCTCCGCATATCTCGAGGGTTGCCTGCATTCTTCAAACAGTTCTGATTGCACTTGAGGAAAAACTTTAGAAAGAATCTATAAAAATACAAAAAACGGATATGTGTTAGGGTCATGAGACAAACTCACAAACTTTTAGAAAGACACTGTTGCGTGGGGAGTGGTGGAGGTTACCCGCCACCACGCGCTCGCCGCCTGTAGGGGGCGGTACTGGGTCCGACCGCCAGCCCTGATGTCCACAAACTTACGTCTGTCTTGACAGTATGGGTCTCCAAGCTTTAGGACAGCATCTGCGACTTGGACTGGCCATTCCCTGCCTGGATCTTCGCACGGTAGCCACTGGGGGACTGTCCAGCCCAGACGGGGCTGCAGTTTTGGCAAATAAGTGACAGTTTTGCCTAGTGACATTTGGGCTTCGGGTAGATGACAAATAATTTCTTAGGATAGGTATGTCCCAAAGCATCCCCATCCTAAAAAACTGTTGTTTACCCATAACTCAACTGTAACTGGACATGCTCAACTTTATCTGGCAGCCAAGCCGCCTAGGTAAACGGACTTCCCAAGATGAATTTTTAAAAGTTACGGTCGTTGCAACTCTTAAGAAAAGAGAGGATTTGGGGGTGTGCTTTAAGGACTGCAGTGACTTCTGTGAAGGGTCTACATGTGTTTTTGAGGAAATAATCGGTAATTCCAAGCCAGCACTGAAGGATCCCCTCAGGTGGAAAGCAGGAGAAGCAACCCCCAGCCCGGGCTCAGGGCGAGAGCGTTTCTACTTCCCGCCAAGCCCCGCCCTTGTGCCTTGAGGCGTGAAGATTCAGGGGTCCTGACAGTGTGTTGAGATGCTGTGACAAAAACCTCATCACGCTGTCCCCTCCATGCCCGCGTGCTCGGTGACAAGGACAGGAGCTCTGGCTCCCAGAGTGCGCGCATGGGCTGGAGCACCCGGCATGGGGGCCGCGGGGGTCTGGTTCCTGCACCCTTCTGCCTCATCCTGATGAGGCGAGGCCACCGTGGGCCGTGCCGGGGGGCGGGGAGGGGGTCTCTGGCCAAAATACACGCCCTCTTCCGGCATCTGAGCGTCCTGTCCGGCAAGGCTACCAACAAAACTCCTCTCTTTTCTGTCCAAATGTCACCTGTCCTACTTGGGATTATTCAATTTTCAAGAAGTTTCACATGATTTCGTTGAACTCGACCTTACAGTCAAGGTTCCTTGTTGACAATGATCATATCAGAAAACAAAAAAGACTGCACAGACGAAGATTCATTTCTCTAACCGCATTCCCGGACGACTTTTCACCGCAGCCGAAGAAAACCCAATTGATGGGAAAAAGAAGAGTGGCCACTTCATTAAATTTTCTCACATACCGCCAGGCCTCACTATTTTAGGCCAGAATTTACATCTTTGATTAACTCACCTCACCTCTACACTTAGCTCCCGGTGCCTCTCAGCACCATCTGCCACCAGCACACAGTAAGTCACTGATATTCCACCCACCAATTTTTCCTAACAACCACCGTGCAATTAAACTCCACGCGCTCTGCAGAGGTAAATTAGACGCACCTGCGGCCACACTGCATTTGAACTGCATCAGGAAGGCCCTAACAAGGTGAGGGCGTCACAAAGTGATCGTCCTGTCAGGCAATTAGGTTTTCACTTCGGGGACAGCCACATGGTGCAATTATGCCACACATTACCACCCGGCTAATCTTCTGAGCAGGCGCCGGCCCGAGCAGCTCTCCTCTGTACGGAGCCGTCTGCGGGAGCTTTTTGTCATGGGAGGCATTTTTTTTTTTCTTTTTTTTACCCTCCCCCTGCCCCTCTCCAGAGAAGGTTTTTTTAAATTCCTTGATGTCTTTTTAGGCGGTTCACCTTTTGCCTCTAAGACAGCAGAGCGTATGTTGACCAACCAGGGCCATGATGGGGGAGCGGGGCCTGGCGCTCTCTCGGGCCTCCACTACCTCCGGCCGCGGGCGGAACTCAGCAGCAAAGCTGGGCACCCACTGGGCCCCCCGAACCTCAGCATTCTTGGGGCCTGGCTCCCCAGTGCAGGTACACACGCTGATTTGGGAGGTGGCGCCGGTAGTCTTTGCTTTGATGCCGAGGGTCTCGTGAGCTGGGGACACACGCGGCACCGGAGGGCAGGACCCCCTTCTCGCGCTCGGGTCCCAGTTACACAGACACGACACGGCACAGCATCGGGGGCCGGAGACAGGAAGCTCCGGCCAGGACGAAGAGGAGCCTTGTGCTTACTTTTCTGCCTCGTTTGGCTCGTGTTTAAGCGAAGGAGTCAGTCAGTCCTCATCCTAAGGAGGATGGCACAAGACAGCCCATGCGTGGCTCTCCAAGCCGGGCCGTGCCGACGTTTGGGGAGCGTGAGGACGCCGGGTGCCCTACTACACGTGAAGTCAAATGACAATTCTCATCCTTTTACTCAATTACCCTGTAATTGGCTTTTTTCCTAAGAAATATCTGACAACCACTTTACATATCTCACTTCCAGAGTCTGGTACACACAAAGGATTTAATACTCTTGTTATGAAAGGAAAAATCTTTCCTATGTCAGAAAATCTTTGGCTTTAACACCAATAAACTCTTTATTACTGCTAAACATGGATTTGCTGCTCGATGGCAAAGAGGTGATAAAAATTCGAACCTGTCATTAGTACATTATGCTTAATTGTGTACCGTGTGCTTTCCATTGCATCTGTTGGCCCATCATCAAAATGACCATTATGTACACTAATTCCCTGACCCTGTCTTTATTTCCCTAAAGAGCCATCAGCTTTCACAGTAGGTACCAGAGTAAATCAAGCTTGAAATATGGGCTTTATTTACTTGTTTCTCTCAGGCAGGAGGGAAGGCAGCTGCCCAGGGCAAACTGCTGCACATTCACTGAAACTCCCCAGTAATATTCTGCTCGGAGACCGCGCACAATCCTGGGAAGTTCTCAGTAGCGATTAGAAGGGGGAGAGGTAGGATCTCATTACTTCGGAAACCAGGTTTCGGCCTGGAGCCCGTGCAGGGATTCACAGAGGAGGCCACAGGCGCGACCCCCAGCGCTCACACACGCGCGCAGGTTCTGGGGGCGCCCCCGTCTCCCTCGCACCAGCACCTGGGAAGGTGGGCACAGGGCCGCGGCCTAGGGAGAGCCGCTGGCTCCAGCCATGGAACCTGCCGTCTGCACTGCAGATCCCCCGGGGCAGGCCCTCACGTGTGCGGGGACCCCGACCCGGCAGAGCCCGGCCACGGCCGCGCCCGCCAAGCCAGGTTAGGCTCAGTCTTGGCTGCATCCATACCAGCATCCTCCCAGACGGCCGCGGCGCCCACGGAAGCACGGGGCGGCGGACGAGGACACCATGAGCGGGGCCACCGTGAGAAACGGGACCAACCGTTTCGACGGGAGCCCACCCTCAGCATCCCCTCTCCCCCAATAGGGGGCAAGCCCCCACCGCAGTAACTCATTTCAGAGTCTGCTCCACTTCTGTGTGTTTAAGCTATGAATTAGTTCATTTATATTTACTTTTATGAAGCTGATTAACCAGAGCTTCTCTATCTGATGAAAATCATTTTAATTGTAGTGTTAGGCTCCTGTGTAATATCCATTACATTATGAACTGTTTAAATTCTACATGGGCATTGTATAAATTGGCCCTTTGTGTGCGCGTAGGCAATTAGGACAAACAGCTCTCCTTTAAACGGCTGCACAACTTTGTGGTGGTGTTCAGGACAATCAGAAACAAAGGAGGCTGCTTAATTGTAATTTAATGGAATATCAAGGAGTCCGTGGCATTAGATGCTGGCAACAGAGAGCAGGAGAGAAAAATTAACTGCAATTATGTTTGATTAAAGCTATCCTTCTCAATAATCAGCGGTCCTGACAGGCCATGGGGCTCTCGTGGGTTCCAGGATGGCAAAAGGTGTTGAGCAATATTAGGGCCAATAAAGGGGATATTAGCATAGCTAATTACAGCCCTGCAAAACCTGTAAAGGGGGCCTCTGTGTATTGTAATGTGTGAAATAATTGGACAAGGCCGTTATCAATTACATAAGGAATGAATTTGGTTTGTCAGAGAAAAGCTGATGAGATGCATTTCATCTGACACCATTCCCTTCCCTCATGTTTCCATAGCTAAGAACTCGCCCACTTGTATCAAAAGCTGCAACTTACCAGTGGACAAATCACTGATAAAATTATCTTGCCAGCAAGTGTTAGGTAATTAATACCACTCATCCTCACCGCCTTCCCTGCACTGCTGCTTCTCACCTAGCTGAAGCCACTAATCATGTAATAATGATTTTTTTCCCTCTGGTCAAAGGAGAAATAGATTGTCTCCTTAGAAATGCAGTGGGCTTGGCGTGCGCACCCTGGTGATTGAGGAGAAAAAAGGAACTTTGAGCAGTTTTAATTGCTTGCCTTTTGCACGTGGGTATCACTTGTTTGAAATTACCTCCTCTCAGCATTTCGGGAATCCTATATGCAGGGATTTTTTTTTTTTTTTTTTTTAATTTTTAATCACCAAGTCTTAGACTCTTCCAGAGCTTGGTCTCACCAGTGCTTGAAAACATGAGTGACAGCATGCTGCAAGGTGTGAGCCCGACAGGCCGTCCGAGGAGTCCTCAGGCCCCACCTGAGCACGGGCTCAGAGCAAACAGTTCTGGCTTGCCGCAGACCCCTCCCATGTCTCAATTCCAGCCTCTGTCCCCTCTTCTGGCCCTCACCTGTGGGCAATACGGGAAATTTGAGTCAAGAATGAAAAATATTGATATCATTTTTTGGTGGGGGAGGGGGGTAAGGGGGTGCTGCTCGCCTTTCCATTTTAAGGCTGAGCTCTTAATAAGCAACAAATGAAGACGGCCATGGATAGACCTCCGTGTCATCAATCAGAAAACCCAAAGCATCCGAGTGTGAATCATGGCGCTGACAGCTTCCAGAGGTTACTAGTGAACCCCATTCCAGACCAAACCCCACCACGCTTGTAGTTCCTGAATCCAGAATGCAAAACCAGAAGGCTATTTTCATAACACTGCCTTGACAAGAAAGAGTATGGGATACCAACCAGAAAATGTAGCTGTCGAA